ATAGTCATAGAGATCGAAATCATGCATTTCATTCCCCATAAAAATGATTTTAGTTTAATGTAACGATTCTAGTTCCACATGGAAATGTGAGAGATATTGTGGGAATCTTTTCAACTTGAGATGAAGGGTTATACACTTTGATACAACCATGGCTATTTATTGGTTCAGATTTATGCGAAGACTCGTCGATTTGATTTGTAAGAGATAAGTGAGGTCAAGGTAATCCAACTAAGTAAAGTTTAGGCTTGCGGCCCTAAAAAATAATTATATAAAGTTTTGACAAAAAAATCTTTGTAATTTAATGGAAAAATAGCTCATGTGTGTAAATGAGAGGAGTTAGAGTGACAATGGCAACATTTTCTTCTCTTTATTTTTACTAATGAATCGGCCTAAAAAAATTATTGGAGTTGCGAGTCTATTATTCTCAGGTTCGGCTCCGATGATGTCTTGCAGAACGATACGCATTATCTCATGTTCGGTGGCATCCTCTCGATCTTCCATACTAGTAATAGCCATAACTCGACTTACTAAATAGCATGAAAAGCGTATTTGATCGTGTCTTTCAAATAAATCATAAAATCTAAGAGGAGAAATAGAAGGTCTATCATTAGGATTTAGGCATTTGACCAAAGTTTTTTGGCCTCTCCTAAAGAGAGAGGGTGCGAAATGAATTAATATTTTTTTTTATTTTTTGTGGTTACTAAAATTTATTACTGGTCCACAATTCTTTTTTTTTTTGGGATATGGGCTAAATTACACCACTTTTTTTTAGTAACATTTGTTCAATTTTAATTGTTTTTTTTCTTCAACATTTCAAAAATGAACCAATCCATCGAGATTTGAGTTTGGTTGAATCAATCAACGGTTTGGATTTATTTTGATTAAACTCAGGGATCGTAACATCTGATAGAACTAATCCATATTTGAGGGTTTCTTTACCGATGCGTAAAAAGAAAATGGTTTGTTGGAAAAATCACAGTAGTGCAAATTCTGTATTTTTCATTATATTATTAAACCGTTAAAATTACATGAGATACATTATGAAAAAAAAATTCAACTTGATAGTCGTAGCTATACATTTAATCAGACAAAATATCACAATCAATGTTAAAAGAATTGATCTTTCAAATGACGACTGGTCTAGTCAATATTTGAAACGGTCTTAAGTCTGTGCACGTACGAGCGGAGAAGGCGGCACCGGCGAATGAGGCGAGAAGAAGCCATCCTCGAACCGCCTCGTGTCATTGAAGCTTAACCGGAGGCTACTCTGCCAACACTTCTTCTTCTTCTTAGCCATCATAGTTGTTGCAGCCATCGGTTTAACCCGGTCTAGGCTCTCCTCCTCGAGTTGTCTAGTGAACACTCTGATCCTCTCTAGAGCTGTCTCCATTGTCTTGTGGTCCATGTTTGCAAAACATACTCTAAACCATCCCGGTTCGTGGCAATGGAACGAACCGCCTGGAGACACGTTGAGCTTCACTTTGTGGATGATCACGCGCCACAGCTCGGTCTCCGAATCGAATGTAGCGGTCTTCAAGAGATTTCTTAAATCCATCCAAAGGAACAAACCGGCTTTGGCCTTTAACCAACCGATACCTAAACTGTCTAAACCAGTGGTTATCTCCGTGTGTCTTGCAGCTAACCGTAGTTTGCTCTCGCGGATAAACTCGTCAACAAACTCTTCGTCGGATAACATTTTGGCGATCAGATGCTGCGTTTGAGATGAGACCAGACCGAAACTCGACATTTTCCTTGCAATGTTAACCACTTGGTTATTATACGAGTATACTATACCGACTCTTAAACCGGGCAAACCCATATCTTTGGATAGACTATACACAATATGGATCAAATCGCGGTTGCAATTCGGAATCTCTTCGATTACTTCCGCAACGCTAATAAACTCGGACTGACCAAATGTAGTTGCAGCATAGATCTCATCAGCAATGAGGTGAATCCCTTTGTCATTGGTGAAATTAACCAAAGATATCAAACATTCCCGGTCTAACATCGTACCGAGCGGATTCGAAGGATTGGTTACGAGTAATCCCTTAACCGGAATGTTCGATTCCCTCGCTGTTTGGTACGCAGCTTCCAAGGCTTCCACAGTGATCTTAAACCCATTAGAGCTATGACAAGTAACAGGTACTAGATTCACTCCGGTTCTCCATCTC